TGAGTCAAGATATTTAATTTTCTTGAAAATCAAAATTTTTTCAGGGAAAAAGTCCAAATTATACTTATTTATGATCTTATTTACATTTAAATGAAAATAAAAAATTTTGCAGTGAAAAAGTAATAATTATACTTATTTATGATCTTACTTACATTTAAAGATTCGTTTGGAAAAATTGAGAGAAAACAAGAAAAACTGGAAATTTTCTATCGAAAATTCCAATTCTTTTATGGTGATTTTAAAATTGTATTTTTTTAAATGAAAACAAATTTGGAAATTGTTCCAAAAAATACGATAGTCGTTTTATAGTTTTTAGATTTTCTTGAAAAGAAAAATTTTCGTAAGAAAACTTAATATGTAAATGGATTTACGATCTTTACATTTGAAGGTTTTGTAAATTTGTGGATTTACTTCAAATTTAGAAATTCGTTTAGAGAAACAGAGAAAACATGAAAAATTAGAAATTTTGGTCCGAAAATTCTAAATTATTTTATGGTAATTTTAAAATTATTATTTTTTTATTGAAAACAAATTTTGGAAAATATGATTTCAAAAATATTTTGAAAAAACTACGATTGCTTATTTTAAGCCACTGAATCAAGAGTTTAAGAATATTCTTGAAAATCAAAATTTCCGTAGTGAAAAGGTAATAATTAGACTCATGATCTTTGCTTCTTCAAATCTATAGATTTATTTGAAACTTAGGAGAATAATGTTTAAAGAAATTGAGAGAAAACAAGAAAAATTCGAAATTTTGTCCCGAAAATTATAAATTCTTTTATTATGATTTAAAATTATTTTTTAACTAGAAACAAATTTTGGAAATTGTGTTTTCGAAAATATTTTTAGAAAATTATGATAGATCTTTTAAGCCAATGAGTCAAGAAATTAAATTTTCTTGTAAATCAAAATTTCCGTAGTGAAAAAGTAATAAACAGATTTGATTTTTAGGTTTAAAGATTCTCCAAATCTAGGGATTTATTTCAAAATTATAGATTCGTTTAGAGAAATTGAAAGAAAACATAAAAAATTGGAAATTGAGTTCAGAAAGTTCTAAATTATTTTATGGAGGTTTTAAAATTACATTTTTTATAACTGAAAACAAATTTTGAAAATTATGCTTTCAAAAATATTTTCAAAAAATTAGGATACTTATTTTAAGTCACAGAGTCGAGATAGTATTCAGTTTTCTTGAAAATAAAAAATTTTCTTGATGAAAAATTAATAATTACATTTAAAGATTTTCCAAATCTGGATTTATTTCAAACTTACAGATTCGTTTAAAAAAATTGAGAGAACACATGAAAAATAGGAAATTTTGTTCTGAAAATTCCAAATTCTTTTTTTATACTGATTTTAAAATTGTATTTTTTTTTACCGAAACCAAGTTTTGGAAATTGCATCTTCAAAAATATTCTGAAAAAAATCAGATAGTCGTTTTAAGCCAGTGAGTGAAGATTTTAGATTTCCTTGAAAATCAAAATCTTTGTAGGAAAAATTAATCATTGGATTTCCGACTTTTAGATTTGAGGGTTTTGCAATTCTGTGGATTTATTTTAAAATTACAAATTCGTTTAGAAAAACTGAGAGAAAACATGAAAAATTGAAAATTTTGTTCGGAAAATTCTAAATCTTTTGATGGTGATTTAAAATTATTTTTCAATCAAAAACAAATTTTGGAAATTGTGTTTTCCAAAACATTTTGAACAAATTATAATAGTTCTTTTAAGCCACTGAATCAAGAAATTAAATTTATAATATAAATATTTTTTTTAACTGAAAACAAATTTTGGAAATTATGCTTTAAAAAATATTTTGAAAAAATTACGATATTTATTTTCAGTCACAGAGTCAAGATATTAAATTTTCTTGAAAATAAAAATTTCCTTGGTGAAAAATTAATAATTACATTTATGATCTTTACATTTAAAGATTTTCCAAGTCTGTGGATTTATTTTGAATGTATAGATTCGTCTAGAGAAAATGAGAGAAAACATGAAAAATTGGAAATTGTGTTCTGAAAATTCTAAATTCTTTTTTTATACTGATTTTTATTTTATTTTTTTTTTTTAAATAACTGAAAACTTTTGGAAATTGTGTTTTCCAAAACATTTTGAACAAATTATAATAGTTCTTTTAAGCCACTGAATCAAGAAATTAAATTTATAATATAAATATTTTTTTTAACTGAAAACAAATTTTGGAAATTATGCTTTAAAAAATATTTTGAAAAAATTACGATATTTATTTTCAGTCACAGAGTCAAGATATTAAATTTTCTTGAAAATAAAAATTTCCTTGGTGAAAAATTAATAATTACATTTATGATCTTTACATTTAAAGATTTTCCAAATCTGTGGATTTATTTTGAATGTATAGATTCGTTTAGAGAAAATGAGAGAAAACATGAAAAATTGGAAATTGTGTTCTGAAAATTCTAAATTCTTTTTTTATACTGATTTTTATTTATTTATTTTTTTAAATAACTGAAAACTTTTGGAAATTGTGTTTTCAAAAATATTCTGAAAAAATGCGAGTCGTTTTGAGCCAGTGAATCAAGATTTTAAATTCCCTTGAAAATCAAAATTTTCCTAGGAAAAATTGATAATTAGATTTACGATTTTTACATTTGAGGGTTTTGCCAATCTCTGGATTTATTTCAAAGTTACAAATTCGTGTAGAGAAACTGAGAAAAACATGAAAAATTGAAAATTTTGTTCGGAAAATTCTAAATCTTTTGATGGTGATTTAAAATTATTTTTCAATCAAAAACAAATTTTGGAAATTGTGTTTTCCAAAACATTTTGAACAAATTATAATAGTTCTTTTAAGCCACTGAATCAAGAAATTAAATTTATAATATAAATATTTTTTTTAACTGAAAACAAATGTTGGAAATTATCTTTAAAAAATATTTTGAAAAAATTACGATATTTATTTTAAGTCACAGAGTCAAGATATTAAATTTTCTTGAAAATAAAAATTTCCTTGGTGAAAAATTAATAATTACATTTATGACCTTTACATTTCAAGATTTTCCAAATCTGTGGATTTATTTTGAATTTATAGATTCGTTTAGAGAAAATGAGAGAAAACATGAAAAATTCTAAATTCTTTTTTTATGCTGATTTTTTTTTTTTTTAATAACTGAAAACTTGGAAATTGTGTTTTCAAAAATATTCTGAAAAAATGCGAGTCGTCTTGACCCAGTGAATCAAGATTTTAAATTCCCTTGAAAATCAAAATTTTCCTAGGAAAAATTGATAATTGGATTTACGATTTTTACATTTGAGGGTTTTGCCAATCCGTAATGAATTTTTAAATTTATGATTACATTTAAAGATTCTCCAAATCTGTGAAGTTATTTCAAAATTGGAAATTTTGTTTCGGAAATTCCAATTCCTTTATGATGATTTTAAATTGCATTTTTTTAATGTAAACAAATTTTGAAGATTATGCTTTCGAAAATATTTTGAAAAATTGCGATAGCTGTTTTTAAGCCACTAAATCAAAATATTAATTTTCTCGAAAATCAAAAGTTACGTACTGAAAAAATAATAACTAGATTTATGATCTTTACATTTAAAAGACTCCGCATTTTTGTGCATTTTTCTCAAAGTTATAGATTCGTTTAGAAGAATTGAGAGAAAACATACGAAATTGGAAATTGTGTTTCGAGAATTCCAAACTCTTAAGATAATTTTAAAATTGTATTTTTTTAACTGAAAACAAATCTTGGAAATTATGGTTTCAAAAATATTTTGAAAAAATTGCGACAGTTGTTTTAAACCACTGAGTCAAAATTATAAATTTGCTTGAAAATTAAAATTTCCGAGATGAAAAATTAATAAAATAGATTTATGATTTTAGATTTAAAGATTCTTCAAACGTATGGATTTATTCAAATTTGGTTCGTTGAGATAAATTAAGAGAAAACACGAAAAATTGGAAATTTTGTTCGGAGAATTCCAAAGTCTTTTATGATGATTTTAAAATTGTATTTTTTACTAAAAACAAATTTTGGAAAATATGCTTCCAAAAATATTTTGAAAAAACTACGATAACTTACTTATTTTAAGCCACTGAGTCAAGAAATAAAATTTTTTGAAAATCAAAATTTCTGTAGTGAAAAATAATTATACATATTTATTTAGGATCTTTACATTTAATGATTCCAAAAATCGGTAATTTTTTTTCAAAGTTACCGATTCGTTTAGAGAAATTGAGAGAAAATAATGAAAAATGGGAAATTTTGTTCCGAAAATTCCAAATTCCTTTTTTATGGTGATTTTAAAATTGTATTTTTTAATGAAAACTAATTTTAGAAATAGTGTTTTCAAAAAGATTTGGAAAAAATTTCACATTAAAAAAGATAACTAGACCTATGATTTTTAGATATAATCTCCAAATTCGTGGATTTTTTCAAACTTACAGATTCGTCTTTTATGGTGATTAAATTGTATATTTTTTAATGAAAACAAATTTTAGTAATTATTCTTATTTTAAGCCAATGAGATAACATATAAAATTTTCTTGAAAATCAAAATTTCCGCGGTGAGAAATTAATAATTGGATTTATAATCTTTCACAAGACGTTAAAATGTCCTTCTTGCGGTTTTTTGTAAACTTGTAATGTCAACAAAATTCAAAAAAATCGTAATACGTGGCAACGTTGCAATAAATTTCAAAAATAAATTATGGTTGTAATGCTTAAAAAGACCCTAAAGAGAAATGTAAAACTACATAATTTAAAAAAACAAGATGTATAATACGTATACATATATCAATAGTTCCTATCAAAAGAAATTATGTTGGCAACACTTTCAGTCCCTGTTTTGAGAAATTTAGAGATTTTGGGATCAAACAAATGTCAAACAGCTACAATATCAACATAATTATTTTAAAACAAAATTTCATAGCTCACTAGCCCACTTTTTACTTTTTCATATTCCAATGGTTAACATGACGGCATTTTTTTTTATTTTCAAATAACCCCCTACCTCAACTGCTTTATTAGTAGAAGATCGCCGTTTTTTCACAGCTGGCTCAGCAACCCCTCCAGTACTCGGTCGATGCTTCTTCCAAGCCTTCCCAGTTTGCAAACTAGAGCTATCTAAATCATCTTCAGACCTTGAGTAACTAAAATCTGATAAAATAGAACCTAAAACACACACTTTTTCAGTAATTTCCATTAACAAACAAACAAAAAACTCACCAGTTGAATTAATCTCTTTAATAGCACTCAAATGCGCATTTTGTGGATTCTTCACACTCAAATCCCACTCGCTTTGCAAATTATTATTATTATAATGCAAAAACGACAGCTTCTGCCGCATCTCCTCCGCCGACAGCCGCCCCGAAGACGCCTTATCTTGGAACAGTATGTTCCGAACATGGTTGATCTGTGAAGCCTAACCCAACAATCTTTTCCACCCCACAACAACCATACCCACCAACTCGTCCTTCTCCCTCCTCGCCACCCTCGTGTTGTGCTTCTCCTTATCCAGCAACTTCCTCGCCGTCAGCAGCTTGTGGTCCAAATCACTGCATTCGTGCACCTTGGCGTCCAGCAGCGACTGCAACCTCCGACACTCGTCTATCGCCCCATAATAATTCACATACAGCTGCTTGACTTGCTCCACGAAATCCGCAAACGCGAACTCGGTTTCCAGCTTCTTGGACCTGAAGCACCGGTAGAAGCGCACCAGATCATCGAACTCTGCTACGAGTGAGATTTCGCCGTTGGAGGACTGGGTGCCCCCCGAGCCGGCATTGTCGGAGTTGCTGGAGGCCACGCTTTCCTCGCTGTCTGAGTGTATTTTTTCGGGGTAGAAGTCCCTGTCGAAGTCGGCTTTGGGGGTTCGGTAGGGTAACGGGGTTTTGAAGGGGGTGTCGCACATTTTGGTTAGAAGCACTGGCGCCTGGAATTAAATAAGGTGAGAGCGTCGCACTTTAGTTACACTAAAACTTGTTAGAAACAATGCTTTTGGTTGATTATGCGAAGCTACAGTTGAATTTTTGCAGGTTTTGAAACGACCAATCAGCGGTGGATGTCAACTGTCATGTAGTAACCGACGTTAGGTGATAGTGTCCATACTGAGAAGCGTCCATAACGAGGGAGTGAAATTTGCGTGAGAGTTTGTTGTTAACGATTTTTGTTTATTGTTAGTAAAGAATTGAGGAGTTATAATATCTTGTTTGGTGGTATAAATTGATAAATGTGATGTAAATTTAATATTATGGATTATGAGTGGGAGACTTGTGGCGCCACCGCGGTAGAGAATTGTGAAAGAATCGTAACGTAACGACTTGTGTAATCAGCTGCTAGTTTGGCTTTTTTAATATTTGTACAATAATTGCACATTTTCTAGTATGTATAAATAAATTTGCGGGTGTGCAGTAAGTATGAATAATGCCGAATATGTTTATTGTGTGAATTGTGTTATCGTGTTTAGGCAACCAGTAATGTCGCACTGTTCACAAATCAACCACTCAGCAATTCTTAAATGGTTCATAAATTAACCCTCAGTCGTCAATATTTCTCCCTTTAACTTATGCTAGGAAACCATAATTCTCAGCAACCCCAATACTATATTATTTTTATTGTGGTCTTTCATTGCCTGAACGTTCAAAATAGTCAGACGGTGGTTACTGTATGATGGAGAATGGAGATAAGTCTGGTGTTTTTATTACAACCCTTCTTTCAAAATAACATGTAATTTATGGCACATTTATAAGGATGAGCCGTTTTGAGTGGCAATATTATGACCTTTTCGCATGTCTGGCACAAAACTGGCTGGAGTTTCTTAGTTTTTTATTGTCACGATTTTGGGTTAACCTCCCGTGTTTCCTTATCCCTGTTTCTTTTATTTGATGTTTATCGCTCAGGCGGTAGATAGATAATTTGAATAAAGCAAAAATTTGATGTGGGGCCATCAAAAGAACTTTACCTTTTTATGTCGTGAGCATGTTATCTTCTGATTAGGGAAAATTCGAAACTGGGAATATAACGAGCGTTCAAATAAAAACGGCGTCAATTTGGCTTTGGAAATGTGAACGAATCGTTCACTAAGCGCTATGTTCACATTTCGAAAGAACTGATTGTGATAATATATATAATTTCATTCCTGATTCTACGATTCAACAAATTGTCATTAAAAATATCAAATAGGTATATTACTTATAGAGTTACATAATTTGAAAATTATATAGCGGGTGTCTGAAAAATTCAGTGTAATCATTGTGCATTGTTATTAATAAAACAAGCTGTTATTTTCATTAATAAATAAATCAAGAAAAACATTTAATACGACAGTTATAAATTATAAACAAAAACAAAACCAACAAAAGAAAAATCCATTAAAGCATGACCAACTAAACACTAGAGAAAATGCACAAAATTCCTGCCTTGTGCATATAAGTAAGCATAAAGTTCCCAAATTTTAATCATTTTTTGTGAAAAAGAACTCGCTAAGATAAAACTAATTTTGGCAATAACATGTCCTATAAGAGAAGAGAGGGCGGGTGGGCGGGGCTAGTACTTCTAAGATAATTATTCAGCATTTTTGCGGTGTATTTTTACTTTACAGAATGTCATCAACATTTTTGCAAGGACACGTATATGAACTTGGATTGCAGCACTGTAATACTAAAAATAACAGTATTGTATTCCCAAAATTTGCTGGGAAAATGAATTGAGCCGTTCCTGATTTAATCAATTACATAAATTGACACATTCATTTTTTTTAGCCACCTGTATAAGCAAATCTAAAAATTATGAATGCAGTGATAAATCACAAGTAAAAACTCATCATAATTTGCACATTTCGGGTAAACTTAGGAATTTAACTCGTTACTATGGAAATTTGCAATTTAACGCTTTTAAATTTCACAAGTTTTTACAATATTGGGGCAAAATCTGTTTTGTCTTAAGAAATACTAGCCCCGCCCACCCGCCCCCTATTTTCCCAGAGGATATGTCATTTGCCAAATCAGTCTTATCTTACCAAGTACTAGCCCCGCCCACCTGCCCTTTACTTTCTCAGAAGGTAGTACTTGCTAAAATAAGTCTTAATTTGGCAAATGACACACCCTCTGAGAAAATAGAGGACGGGTGGGGGGGGCTAGCATTTGCTAAGGTAAGACTGATTTTGCCCCTATTAAACTTGTAAAAACTTGTTATATTTAAAAGGTGTTGAATTGCAAATTTCCATAGTAACGGGTTAAATTCCTGAATCTGTTTGGATATTTATTTTTTAATAACTCAGTCATTAATTTTTCTGAGACACCTTGTATAAGCAAATTTAATTGTTTAGGGGGGATGAGCAAATATATTTTGATTAAAAATGTATTATGCTTACGATAAATTTAAAACATTTCCAAGATTTCAAAGCATTCAGTTTGGAAGATTGTTGTTGAATGTTGTTTTATAATTTAGATTTTTTTCCAAAAATCTGACGTTTAGGGTAAAAACTCAACACGGAGTCATAAACTACATATGTAGGACTATGTTATTTTATACAATTTAAAACCCATTTATAATTGGGCCAGTACTTTCGAAGATTATCTGTCTAATCAAAATCAGGACGGTAGACAGACGGACAGACAGACGAACAGACAGACAGACACACGGAAACGGGAGACCTATTTCTTCGTTGTCTAGGGGTCATGAAAGATCGAGAACATGTAAAAGTAGATAGTCGGCCGACGGTCTCGATTACAATACTTCCTATATAAGAGTGATTTTGGCAAATGAGATATCTTCTAAGAAAAGAGAGGGTGGGTGGGCGGGGCTAGTACCTGCTAAGATAAGAGTGATTTTGGCAAATGAGATATCTTCTAAGAAAAGAGAGGGCGGGTGGGCGGGGCTAGTACATGCTAAGATAAGAGTGATTTTGGTAAATGAGATATCTTATAAGAAAAAAGAAAAATTGTCAAAATTTTCAAAATTATATACGTTTAAAATGTTCGCAGTTAATTTTAGGTCCTCGGGCGCTTTATTTTAAAATAAATTTCAAAGAATCCAGTGTTTTGTTGCTAGATGAACTTGAAAAAATCTTTTGAGGTTTTAGTGATTTACTTTTTACGAATTTGAAAAAGTCTTCAGTACCGCAGTGTGGTATTTTAGGAGCTCAGTTTCAGGATTTCTCAATTTTTCGATTATTTAATTTATCAATTATTCCGTAATTGAGGTTCGGATTTTTAAATTTTTCTTCAAATTTTTGATACTTTAATTTCTTAAATGTTAGATTTTTAGAATTCTCGTTTTTTTGACATTGCAGTTTTTCGACTTTTTCGATTTTCCAGTTTTTCCATTTTTCGAATTATTGAGGTTTCAATCTGTCGAAAAGCTGTAACATTGACAGGTCGAAAAATTGAAAAATCGAATAAATGAAAAAGTTTTAAAATCCAATAATTGAAAAATTCTAAAATCGTGATGTTGAAAGTGTTTATTTTAAAATATAATTATTATTTCATATTTAAAACGAAAATTAGAAAATTTGCAAATCAAAAATTAAAAAGGGAAAAACTGAAAAATCGAGGAACTGAAAAACCTGAAATTGAAAAACCAAAAATCAAAAAATCCCCGCACCCTCTCTTTTCTTAGAAGGTATATCATTTGCCAAAGTCACTCTTATCTTAGTAGATAGTAACCCCACCCACCCACCCACTCTCTCTTTCCTGAGAAGGATGTCATTTGCCAAAATTGATCTTCTTTTAGCAGGTACTAGCCCCACCCACCCACCCTCCCTTTTCTTAGAGGGTATCTCATTTGCCAAACTCAGTTTTATATTAGCAAGTATTAGCCCCACCCACCGACCCTCTCTTTTCTTAGAGGGTATCTCAATTGCCAAAATCAGTTTTATCTTAGCAAGTATTGGCCCCACCCACCCACCCTCTCTTTTCTTAGAGAGTATGTCATTTGCCAAAATCGATCTTATTTTAGCAGGTAATAGCCCCGCCCACCCACCTTCTTTTTTCTTATAGGATATGCCATTTGCCAAAATCAGTTTTATCTTAGCAAGTACTGATGACTAACGTTTACAAAAAATTGGATTGCTTATAATTTATAAATGTATTAATTTTTAACGATTAATGACATTGGTTGTAATGATATTGTCCTAAAAAAAATAAGAAAGGTGGATTTCATTCACCATTCTTACTAAGAAATTAGAAAGTAAGCTGGAGGTATTCACGCATTAGGTGCGTGCAGTGTTGCCAATTTTACTTAGGAAGTAAAAAGGGTGGGTGGGCGGGGCTAGTATCTGCTAAGATAAGATTGATTTTGGCAAATGAGATATCTTCCAAACAAAGAGAGGGCGGGTGGGTGGGGCTAGTACCTGCTATGATAAGAGTGATTTTGGCAAATGAGATATCTTATAAGAAAAAAGAAACATTGTCAAAGTTTCCAAAATCCTATACGTTTAAAATGTTCGCAGTTAATTTTAGGTCTTCGGATGCTTTATTTTCAAATAAATTTCAAAGAATCCAGTATTTTGTTGCTAGATGAACTTGAAAAAATCTTTTGAGCTTTCAGTGATTTACTTTTTACCAATTTGAAAAAGTCTTCAGTACCGCAGTGTTTGGGTCCCCATGGTGTACTATTTTGGGAGCTCAGTTTTGGGATTTTTCAATTTTTCGATTATTTAATTTATCAATTGTTCCGTAATTGAGGTTCGGATTTTTTTAATTTTTCTTCAAATTTTTTATTCTTTAAATCTTTAAATGTTAGATTTTTACAATTCTCGTTTTTTGACATTGCACTTTTTCGACATTTTGGATTTTACATTTTTCAGTTTACAAATTTTTCGATTTTCCAGTTTTTCCATTTTTAGAATTATTGAGGTTTCAATCTATCGAAAAGCTGGAACATTGACAGGTCGAAAAATTGAAAAATCGATAAATGAAAAAGTTTTAAAATCCAATAATTGAAAAATTCTCAAATCGTAATGTTGAAAGTGTTTTTTTTTTAATTATAATTATTATTTCATATTTAAAATGAAAATTAGAAAATTTGAAAATAAAAATTAAGGAGGGGAAAAACTGAAAAATCGAGGAAATGTAAAACCTGAAATTGAAAAACCAAAAATCAAAAAATCGAAAAGTTGAAAAATTGAAAACCGAAAAATTGCAAATCGAAAATTGAAAAAATTAAGAAAACAAAAAAA